TCAGCAGGATGGGGAGGATTTTCACAAATACCCAGGATGGAAAGGGCATTCCCAGTAGAGAGAGAAGAACAAGTGAACTCATGAAACAGGAAAGTCACGAGAAAGGAATATGCATATAGGTTTAGCTGGATATATATGGACTTGGAGCAGTAGATGATTGTGGAGAAGGGAGGGAGGAGAAAGGGGCTTAAATGAGACAGAGAGGGATGAGTAGGGCTGGGTTATTAAGGCTTCTGATGCCACACTAAAGAGAGTGTGGTTCTGTAGAACATGACATAATTGCACCTATGCTTTAGAAATAGCAGTTTTGTAGTTGAGTCTAACAAGGACAAGGACAAAGACAAAAGTAACTGGGGACAAGAGGCCTTTTGGGATGTTACAGCTGTAAGAGAGATCCTTTATTAATCATTATGCTCCAGGACTAGAACAGTGGCAGTGGGATTGGAAAGAAAGAGGAGGTAATTTAAAAAGTTACGCATTTTTTCATATGCCTTTTAGCTATTCGTATATCATCTTTAGAGAGTGGCTTTTTCAACTCATTCTCCCATCTTTTAATAGGATTGATCGTCTTTTTTCGAAACAGCTGCTTGAGTTCCTTGTGAATTCTAGTTATCAGTCCCTTATCTGACGCATAATTCACAAAAATATTTTCCCATTCTGAGGGCTGTCTATTCACACTAATTACTGTGTCTTTTGCCATGCAGAAACTTCTTAGTCCGATGTAATCCCATTTGTCTATTTTGGGGATTATTGACTGTGCTTTGGGGGTCTTAACATCCCTCATTGTAAGGGAAATGCAGATCAAAACAACAGTGAGAGAGCACCTAACCCCAGTCAGAATGACGAAGATTAAAAAAAAAAGATAAGTGCTGGTGGGGTGTGATGAAAGGGGAACTCTCTTACACTGCTGATGGGAATGTAAATTCGTCCAGCCACTGTGGAGAATAATTTGGAGATTCCTCAAAAATCTGCAAATAGAACTACCATATAATCCAGCATTTCCACTCCTTGGTGTCTACCCAAAGGACAGAAGAATACTTAATCAGAAAAGTGCTTGCACATGGATGTTTATTGCGGCACTATTCACAATTGCTAAGTCATGGAAACAACCCAAATGCCCACAAACAGATGAATGGATAGAAAAACTGTGGCACATATGCTCTATGGAGTACTTACTATTCAGCCATAAAAAAAACCCAACAAAACCCTGGCTTTTGACAGGAAGTAGATGAATATGGAAGATTTACTGCTGAGTGAAGCAAGCCAGGCTACAAAGGAGAGGCATTGTATATCCACACTTAATATATACCGAGTGTCTGCACTCTATGACTGAAACTAATTGACTAAAGGATATAGAAGCACAGTATATAGATGTAAATACCAGATATAGTGTGTGTGAAAGAGGAGGGTCTGAGGAAGGACATTTAGAAGAAAAATAGGGAGACAAAGCATTAATGGCACAAAGAAATGTGGTATTATCTGTTGAAGATATTTTATAGTTTTATCAACTGTACTAGGGAGAAATGTTCACATGTTGAAATATCCATTTTGTAAGCCAAATAATAATGTGATTGAATGTATAAAAGAAAATGAAATTTTTAAAAAAAAGCAAAAAAGAAAAGAAAAGAAAGACTAGTAGAGCAGAGTTTAAGGTAAACATCATAATAGGATGTTCTTTGTAAGAAATGATGAATAATGGCAACATCCTTTATTTGATTATTGTACGCTGCATGCAAGCTTTAAAATCCATAGTGTGCTTCTCTAAGATTTACAAAATGTAAATGCAAATAAACTTATAAAAATACTAAAAAAAGAAAAAAAATACTATCCATTGATTTAAAAAATGTCTCTGATCAAAATAAACTCATACTTTAATTCTGAAAAAAATAAATAAATAAAAAGTTGTGCATTGACCTATGCATTGACCATAATGTGATTGTGGGAGACTAATCATTAACAGTTGCAGTGCTAATGCTTGCTGAGCAGAGCAAGATAAAAAAAAATGTTCTAGTTTGTGAATAAATAACTTTTGTTTTTCTCATTTATCCAAATCTTGTTATTTCTCTCACTACTTAGAGTAAATCACTTGGTATGGTCTCTTACGTGTTTGTTTTCCTAATGCTTTTTAATGTGCCAGCCTAAAAGTCAAGGACTGACTCATAAATTTTCTTGTTCTCCTATTGAAAAGCATATAAGCCATTTCTTTGGACTTCGGCAACTTCTTGTGTTGGGCAGGAGTATATACTCTGAATGGTTTACAAAACAGAACAGTATTTCAAAGTACTGCAATTATTGCTTTTATATTAAAAATATTATTAATTTATGTTACTTATATACCAATATACAATACTCTGTATCATATTTTTATCTCATACTATGTAAAAGTTGATTAAATATTTTTAATCTATTAGATTATGTATGTTATGACTTTATGATAAGTGTAGGTGGGATCTTTTCATTTTTCCATGAAGCTTATATTGGGTCATTGGAAAAGTCATGACACATTTGCACAGAAAAACAGAAAAATATGGCATGACTTTTCTGATGACCCAATAAAATCTATTTGTTTTCACAGTACAAAAATACCTCAAGCTGTTTGTTTGGGTCCTACCTTAAAATGAGAAAATTAATGACCATCTGAAAAACGACATCAAATGTAAATATATGGTTAGTTCTTAGCATGATGAAAAGAGTCATTTCAGATTCTGGTTCTTAAGAGTATTCAGAAATGAATGAGCTGATTTAAAAACTCATAAAGATGAGAAGAATTGTGAAGGTATATATAATCTGAGTAAAATGGTTCATTTCACCATAATAGAAATATGATGTGAAGAATGAAATCACATATGAAAGATAAAGCAGCATAGTCAAGAAAAAATAAAGCCATAATTTCTGTCCTATTTACTTTTGTGGTTTGCAAGTGATTAGGAGCCTGTAGAAATGTCTCAGTTACTAAATGATGGTAAGGATTATGAACAGATTAGTCTACTTTACTGATTAAACTGGAGCTGATACATTTAACCTACAGCATTGGTCTTCTGTTTGATTTTAGGGGACTTTGTAATCTAAAATATCACAAACTGTAGGAACATACTGGGTTATCTCTTTTGAAGGACATATCTAATATGCAGAGATTTCTTAATGATGGGAGGGGAGTGGAGGAAAAGATGAGAATCTGAAACTCCTTTAGATACCAGAGAAGTTCATACTTTTCTTATCTCCTTCTGACTTCACTTCCCACACATTTTTTTTTTTTTTTGGAGAGGTTTTTGCTACAGGGTGCATGTGCTCACCAAGCAGACAGAGACAGAGAGACAGAAAGCGAGAAATCACCTCCCCAGGGAGGATAGCCACGCCGCAATCCCTTCTCCTCCATTCTCCTCTCGGGATCTTGGACACGCATGCACACATGCCCAGTGTGAATTTTTAAGCCTCTGGGTCCAGGATGCGAACTGCGGTCGACTACATGGGAGTCCAGTGGCATAGCCATTGCACTAACTGCTGGTCCCACTTCTCACACATATTTTTAAAAACCTATATCCATGTTAAAAAGTTGAGTGGAATGGAAAGTTGGCCCAGTAGAGTGAAAAGAGGTTACGCACACAAGAGAACTGAATCTTCCTTTCATTCTCGTGGTGCGACCTAATATAAATTTGTTTGCTTTTCCTTTGGGGATGTATGAGAAGTAGACTAGATATGTGTTATTTGTATTTGTTGCTACTATTTGTTTTTGTTTTTTTGTGTGTGGAGCAAGCCTTACCGAAGATCATTGTGAGCATGGATTTCTTTCTTAATTTACTGCTTATGTGTCTTTAATGTCTTCCTGCATACAGAGCAGAGTGGCCAAAAGAACAGTTTATTCCACCGTACGTCCCTCGGTTTCGCAATGGTTGGGAACCCCCAATGCTGAACTTCATGGGTGCGCCAATGGAACAGGATCTTTACCAACTGGCTGAGTCTGTGGCGAATGTAGCAGAACATCAGCGCAAACAAGAAATAAAAAGACTATCCACCGAGGTAAAGTGTCCTTAGCATCACCTTTTGTAGATAGTGCAATAACGAGCGTGCTCTTCTGCCTGTGACAGTGAGTCCTCATTTCATTGATCCGAAGATCGTTCTGGAATCAGTGGCTCAATGTTACTCTCTCCTGCTGCCCTGAATGACCCTCCTCTCTTGCTCTTTGTCATTTTGGTGCAGTTGCTTTGTCCCCTTGTTAAAGCACAACTCCAGCCCTTGTCATTCTCTGGTGGCCTCCTGACACCCTCCCACTGCCCTGGCCCTTGTTCCCCTCTTTGGTGATCCTTTCTTTTTGAGTACATACCTTTTCTCCTTGTCGGTGTACTGCCCTACTGCCCCGTGGCTGATTGCTGTTTTCTTCTCCCATCGTCAGACCCGAATCTAGCTCTCCTAAGCTCTCCTAAGCCTGTCTGAAGCAGCTCTTTTCCAAACCTCAAAACTCTCTTTTTTTCCCCTTCCCTCTGCTTCCCCTCTCCTCACCATCCCTTCTTTTCTTAGTTCAAAACCACTGCAGTGTTCTCACTGATGAGAGGACGAAGCCTTTCCTGGACTCCAGTCCTTGGACTCAGATGATCATAATTTATAACACTGTTCTACCTTGAGGAAATTGTAGAATTTCTTCTGTCAAAGTATTTAGTAAGATTTAGAGTATATCCTCTTGGGGGAGTAAATTGAGGGTATGAAATTGGGTATGAAATCTTGTCACATTGTGCAGAAATGATTTTTCTATGACTCCTCTTGTTCTGTTGGAAAACACGGAAGTTGAACCAAACGCTGATAATGATCAGAACCCGAGCAACGAGAAGAATGAGGTCTAGCTTGAAGAAGCAGCAGTAAATGATAACTAGAAGCTCCTGAGTTCCAATTTTCTGTATTTAATTTCTTATTAATTTTCTCCCAACTACCATAGTATTTATAGTGTGGCAAATATGATATGAAAGAATGAACTAATAAACCACAGCAATTACTTCCTGGACAGACATTCATCAGAACTAAACTTCTTAAAATCATTCTCTTAATAGAGAGTTCTTTGGACGAAAACAATAGTATTACAGGACATTGGTAAAATTCCTGAAACTTTAAAATAAACCATATGTGCTTCTTTGAAATTAATTTTTTTTTCTGAAGCAAGTTTTTCTAGCTGCATGTAGGGGAAGAGGGTAAATCCAGCCTGCCCTGCCCTGTGAATGAGTAATGAAGATAAGTCTCACTGTTCAGGGTGGCGAGCATATAGCCCTGACTGTATTTTATAGTTCAGACTTCATCACTGTGAATTTTTTTCCCACTTAAAGGGCTGCTTTTCTAGAGGAAAAAAAATTGTGATCAAACATTAAATTATGATATACTTTCTGTTGCTATAGTTACCAATGACTATTTTCAAATCATAGAATTTGTCAGCGTACAGTCCTCACATATTGAATGAGGAAGTATACCTGCTTTATAGCGTATGCCTTTGAAAGTCACTTCCGTGTGTTCTTTTCCAATTGGTGTATTTAAGGAGAGAGTAATGTTTTCTGGGCTTCCACTGTATGTCTATTCTCACCGAACAATTTTTTTTCTTTTTTTTTTTTGAGAGGTTTTTCGCTATAGGTGCATGCGCTCGCCAGACAGAGAGAGACATAGAAACAGAAAGCGAGAAATCACCCCCCAGGGGGGATGGTCACGCCGCAATCCGTTCTCCTCCATTCTCCTCTCGGGATCTTGGGCACGCACCCACACGCGCTCGGCGTGAGTTTTAAGCCACCGGGTCCAGGACACGAAGCGCGGTCGACTATGTGGGAGTCCAGTGACATAGCCATTACGCCAGCTGCTGGTTCCCTCACCGAACAATTTTAAAACAGGATTTATTGAGAATCCTTCCTTGTCATGAGTTATCATTATTCTGCTCTAAAGTATTTTCCATTTTGTGGCTTTAATATTTATTCAGAGGTTTTAAAAAATGAAATAAAAAACATATGCTAGCAGTCGTAGGGGATTTTATGCCTTGAATTTTGTGGGAAAAGAGGCTAAATAATGGTGATTTAAAAATGCATAAAAATGTAATTATTCCCCAAAGAGGGATTTTATTACACTTTATGACTACTGTAATAAATCCATTTACAGTAAGACTGGAGTGATTCAGGATCTGGTGATTTTGTTCAGAACTGAAGGGCATAGGTGATGTGGAGTGACAAATATGGGTGGGCAGGACTCCCCTTCTGTATTTCCCCGGGACCAGCAGCAGTACCAGACACGACAGCGTAGTCATCACAGTTAGTCATTTGTCATCATCTCTCTCCTCCCTTTCAGTGCTTCCAGTCATTCTCAGTGTCCGGTGACTTCATTCGGGCTGACCTCACCCTGCTGTGTTCAGAACTAGGCCCCAGGTGTGAGGGATTCTAACAATTTCTTGCACTCACCCCTTTACAATAGCCTTTAGTAAAAAAAATTATCTAATCATGTTTAGTGCCTCACCTCTACCTTAGGGAAATGATAAACAGAGTGCATTGAGCTCAGATACTGAAGTGACTGAAAGTTGTTTATTTGTGTTCATGTTGAGGACAGTGTCTTGACATACACACCAAAGGAATAGTATAGTGTGGGCATTTTGACTTCAACACTGGTCCACTGGGGACACACCACCTACAGTCGATAGAAAAACTCAGTCCTCCTTCTACTGACTTTGTCCTTAGAATTAGCTAGTAACTATGTACTAAGACTTCTGAGCCATTTCCGCTTTCAAATATTTTGTGCCAGAAGTCTGGGAATTGAAATACCCAGGGAATCCCAGTGCTTGAGTGTCTGTCGTGCTTCTCCCGTACTTCACTACGCAGGGAAACAGTCTTTAGGTGATGTGTTTTGTTTGTTTTTCTCCTAATCTGAGCATGTGGCCTCTTTGGTTTTAAAACCATGGTGCTCAGGGGCACCCTGAGCTCGCCTTCTCCTCTCCGTAGCATCTAGTGGGTTTGTGTCTGGATTGTGGTAACTCCAAGAAAAGAAATGGCTCCAGGATCGTCTGTTATCCTGGATTCTTGACTCTATCAGTCAAGATCAAGGTATTTGTGCCTTTCTGTGTTTTCCTCAACAGTAAATCTGATAACAGTACTGCCATTAAAACAAAGAAATCAGTACAGTTTAGAAAAAGAAAACTGAGATGATAGTATAATGTGAATGCATAGACTTCAGGTTATTTTCATGTGATAATTACTTTGCTAGAGTGGTGAAGGTCTGTTTCATAAGCATAGAGAACTAGGGTTCAAGTTTTATGTGTGTGTGTGTGTGTGTGTGTGTGTGTGTGCGTGTGTGCGTGCTTTTCCACCAGTTTTATTTTATACATCTGTTAATAACTTAATCACCTCTTACCGCAATTCCTAATAAAGAAATGTACTGCTTTTATACATGGTTATTTCTAAAATTAAGATATAGTATTAACAGTAATGACTTTTCTTAATATAAGTAGGTCTTTGACAAAAATGTATCATTCCCACTTTATAATTCTTTAGCAGAGTAGCCAATCACTAGAAAATGAAACTGATCACAACACGGGGGAGGGTTCTTTGCTGACATGAGTGCTCGTTCAAATAGTATACGGTGATTCTTTAATCTGCCCCACTCTGTCTTCCAGCATTCCAGTGTATCCGAGTACCCTCCAGCTGATGGCTACGCATTCAACACCTACACAAGAGGGCCCCCGCCTCTGGACCAAGGGGAGGCTGCTGTTGCTTTTAAGCCAACTCCTAATCGCCATGTAGATAGGTAAAATTCAGTGGGCACCAATTGAAGGGCTGCAGTGGATAACTGTCTCTGATTTAGTGCTAAGAGCCATGACAGGGTCTGTATTATCAACTCTTTAAAGTTCCTCTGTTAATTATTTGATAAAGTTTCAGTTGTTCCTTTATAAAACTAACTTTAATGAACAAAAGATGTCTGGATCTCCTGGCTGTAATTCTCATTTAGTGCAAATGTCTTCGGATGGGCTCCCCTTTTTAAAAGGTACTTCTGACAAAATATGTACATTAAGAAGAAAGAAGAGGGCCAGTAGGTGGCATGGAGGTTGAGGCACTAGATCCACAGGGCTGACTGCATGGATCAAGGCCCAGACCTGGTAGTTTGAGAATCACGCCAGTTACATGTGTGTGTTTGCCCAAGATCCCAAGAAGAGAATAGAGGAAAAGGGATTGCAGCATGGCCACCTCACCTGAGGGCGGAGCTTTCTCACTTGCCATCTCTCTTTCTTTGTCTCTCTCTGGCAAGCATGTGTGCTTTATAGCAAAAAAAAAAGGAAAACAAAAAAAGAAGTAGAATTGTCTTAAGCCTCTTCATTAGTTTGTACCAAGCAATCTCTAAGGATTTTTCCAGCTCTTACAGTTTTTTTTTAATTTTGCTGGGGGTGGTGGGGGGAGGGGACAGCAGATGTGTGATGGTTAAGGCGCTAGACTCTCACATGGCTGACTGCAGTTCGAATCTTGGACACTTGAAACTTACACTAGGTGCAAGTGCATGCATGTTCCAAATCCCCAAATCTCAGAAAGCAAATGGAGAAGGGATTGTGATGTGGCCAACCCCCCAGGGGTGATTTTTTACTTCCCTTTTCACTGCCTCTCTTTCTGTCTCTCTCTGGTGAGCACATGTGCCCTATGCAAAGAAAACCCTTAAAATTTTTTTTCTTTTTTTGCCAGAGGGGTGCATGTGCTCACTGGAGAGAGACAGAGAGAGAAGGAAATGAGAAAGCACTGCCATGGAAAATGGTCACACTACAATCCTTTCTCATGCATTTCTTCCTCTTTTGGGGATTTTGGGTACAAACAAAAGTAAGCCTCCATATTTTTCAAGCTATCAAGTCAGGGACTCAAACCACTTACTCATTTATCTGAGGTCTGCCCTCTTGACCAGCATCCCATGCGCTGACCTGCTCTGTAACTTTTAAAGGAAATAACTTCTATTTTCTCATTATCTAACAAATCAAACTTTCCTTTAGATAAAAATAAACTAAATTTAAACTATCTAAGAGGGATCAAGCCTTGTCATTTTATCTTTGTGTATCTTATCTTTACTTACAAGTTTCACATTTCATTTATTTCTCCAGTATTTTCACTCTCAAAAAATGTAGTATAGGCAGACATGGAAAATTAGACTGGAAAAGAAATAAAAGAACTTGAATAGGTTCAATTTTGTTTTAGTCTTGTTTTCCTGCAAGTCAGGTTTACTTAAGGTTGACACACAGAGCTTGAATTTCAAGTCACCAAGTATGAGACTCGAACCACCATCAGCCATGTGGGGATCTAGCACCTTAACTACCATGCCACATGTTGGTTCCTGTATGCTTTTAATAGAAGCTTAGGAAGGTGGTATTTCACATTTTTGCTTTTAGTCATGGAGGATGACCAGTGGCAACAGTTAAGTAACTGATATGGAAATTTTACAGGTATTACTCAAGGGGCACCAGTTATATATTAAATCAAGTACAGGAAAAGTCAACAATGAATAATGTATTTTGAAAATGCCAATATGTGAAAATATCTTTTAATTATATAATTAAGTTTTAGTAGATATAGGTGAAATCAGTTTGGAAGATTAAACATTGGTTCATTGGAATTCTTAACTAACTCAGTACCCAGCCTGTATTTTCCTTTTTCTTTGTCTTACATATCAATATTCTAGAAATTATCAATAATTAGTCTTTCCTTTTTCCTTTCTTTCTTTGTATGGGGCTCATGTGTTTGCCATAAATATATATACATACATATATATATATAGAGAGAGAGAGAGAAAGAGAGAGACAGAGACAGAGACAGAAAGAGTGAGAGAAAATGAGAAATCACACACACACACACCACCACCACCACCACCACCACCACCACCACCCTGGGGATGGCCATACCACAATCTCTTCTCCAATTTCTTTTGTTATTTTGGGCACACACGTACACACGCCCAACATGATTTTCAAGCCACTGGGTCCAGAACTCAAACCATGCAGTCGGCCGTGTGGAATCCACCCTCCTTAACCACCATGCCACTGGCTGGTCCAACAATTAGTAATTCTTACTTTTTCTTTTTGTTTTATTATTGTAGTAAAATGAGATGATTTTCCACAAGTAGAAAACTATTTGAGTACATTTGTTGTATGTGTTTTGAGTTATAGTACATACTGATGCACTTTGAACATCCCTGATATAAATTTCTGAAATCTAAAATCCTTCAAAATTTGAAACATCGAAAGCTGATCTAGGGCTACAAGTGGGAAATTCCACACCTGCATTCATATGAGAGATTGCAGTAAAATGCAGGTGCACACATGCAGCTTATTCAGTATCCACAAGGGAAGAAAAGACCCTTCCAGCTTCTTCAAATGTGATATATCATTTCTTTGTATGCCCATACTTCTGCCCCCTCCAGCAAGCATAGGCACAAGAGGTTTCATACACAGAATTATTAAAAATAGTGTATAAATTACCTTCAGACTGTGTATATGAAAATTAATTTCATGTTAAGATTTGGGTCCTGTCCTCAGTATATCTTATGTACATGCAAATATCCCCAAATCTGAAAACATCCAAAATTCTAAATAATTCTGGTCCCAAGCATTTCACGAAGGATACTCAACCTGTACTACACAATGTGCTATCACGTTCTATTTTCAGACCACATCTAGCACATTGTGGTTACTTAGAGAGTGTAGATTTATTGATGGATTGAATGACTAACAAGCAGATGAGAGTGTGGCCAACATTTCAGAGTCATTACCTCTCTGTGTCCTTCACCCAGCAATCTGTAAGGTATCACATTATTGATGGAACCCTTTCCTGTTTATTTTGAGCAGCTTACAAACACAAGCTCTTTTAAAGGTTTACCTTGATTTTTTTATTTGTTGATTTATTCTTTGGACACCATCTTCTTTTAAAATAGATTCAACTTAAATTATATGCAGTTGAAGTAATCCTATTTTTAACAAAATAATGAAATAAAATATACAGTTAAGAAAGAGGGAGGATAAGAATTAACATGTATTAAATAGAATGGTTGATAACTGTGATTGAATTTCAGATTTGTCTTTACGACTCATGGCTGTCAGAGCAAAAAGAGAAACAATTTGTTATTACTAGGAAAAAGAAGTATATGTCAGCTCTTTTCCTACTATTAAATTCTCAAAACTACTTACATCCTAGAACTTTATAAAGCATGGGATAAGTGATTTAAGGAACTTTTTTAATGGTATCCTCCCCCCCCCCATCCCATTTAGAGAAAGTTGTGGTGCATTTCATAAGTTTTCTTTAGTAACTTTTGATAAATAAGAAATTTAAGTGGAATATAGTGAAGGATATTCTGTGGAAGAATAATAGCCTCATAGTGATTAACATATAGCTAGAGAAAGAATTTTTTTAGAGAGATTTTTGCTATAGGTCACATGCGCTCACCAGAGAGACAGAGAGAGAGAAAGCAAGAGATCACCCCCCAAGGGGGATGGCCACGCCATAATTTCCTCTTCTCTGTTCTCCTCTCGGGACCTTGGGCATGTACACACACACAGGCCTAGCATGCGTTTCAAGCTGTCATGTCCAGGACTTGAACCATGGTCAGCCATGTGGGAGTCCAGCGATGTAACCATTTTGCCACCTGCTGGTTCTGAGAGATAATTTTTTAAAATATGCACTAAGTGGTGAGTGGTTTGTGTATCTTAATTGTTTTTATGAATGCCATTTCCAAGCTGGTCTTAATAGGAGCTAAATCAGTTGATAGAAACCTGTATTATTGATGTTCTCTGTTGCTATGAAAGTTTGTCTTCATTATTTCAAACACTATCTGAAAGTTCTGGTCTCATATGAAATAGAGGCCTGTATTTTGGTTTTATTGTTATTATTGTCAACTTTGAACTTTACCACATGCCAGACATGCTGTAAGTACCACATGAGGTATATTCGTTGCTCATTGAAATCACCTCTCATTAGGGAGACCATATGCTGAATTTAGAGCCTTTGCCTCTGAGAGATTGTTGTTTACTGCTATTCAGATGTAATATGTGTTTTAGAGAAGTTCTCAGACTATGGCTGTCTCCATGTCTGCTAAAAGGCATTTCTGTTATTTCAAATCAGAAACAGACACATTTGATACATTCTAGATTTCATTAGAAGTTTTGACATCTGAAAAATGACAGATGGCAATTTTCCATTTGATAACCACAATCTGTGCCATATCTGGGTTTAAGCTATAGAGAGGAAGAAACTGTAAACCATAAAGATTTGGAAATTCTGAAGCGCTTTCTAAGCACATAGTAGGTAAACACCACTGCGGCATCTAGAGTAGCAGACTTCAAAGATTCCCACAGCAAACTTCTCTTTTTGACTCACAGATTCAGATACATGGTGGCAGAGTGTTATCCTACTCTTCGTTATAATACATTCAACTCAACACTATTAGTAGTTATTATTTCCAGATCACAGGAGAGAAGAACATGAATAAAGACAGACAGAAAACTGAAACTACATTTCCCAACTTTCAGGGTGGTTGAGTCTCTCTTATCCCTCAAATGAAATCTTAATAAATATAATTATGTAAGTAGATAAAAGCAGAACTATTCTAGTGTGAATGAGGTGGAAAACCCATAGTATACAGTTTTTATATGATTACTACCAATGGTATGTAATAACTTATTTGCAATTTTGCATTTTTCATCAGTTTTTTTTTTCTCTTTTGCTATACCCATTAAAACAGCCAATAGGCATTGTAGCTTATAGGTCTTTGTCACTATCGTCTTCTTTTTTTTTTTTTTTAAGAGAGGTTTTTGCTATAGGGGTCACTATCTTCTTTTGTAAAGGAATTATTATTTAAGAGGTAAGAAATAGCTACGACAGGATCTGTTCTGGTTACAGCTGTCCTGTGGTGTATGTAACTCAACATCCCCAAAACTTGGTAGGGAACAGGAAGAATGGCCACTTGACAGGGAAAGATGAAAAAACATCTTTATTCCCTTCTTGCTTTTTCCTCTTATAGAGATGTGTGAAGAACTATGGGAATGAAAATGGAGAAGATTAGGCCGTGAAATTAATAAGCAAGAGTTACAGTTACTATTTTATTAAAATATATGAAGATATGTATTTAAATCTCTAATGTCCATCTAATGATTAGGCTCTAAAGATACGTTACTTGGTTTTTTTTTTTTTTTTTTTGAGAGATTTTCACTGTAGGGCGCGTGCGCTCGCCAGACAGACAGAGAGAGACATAGAGACAGAAAGCGAGAAATCACCCCCCAGGGGGGATGGTCACGCCGCAATCCCTTCTCCTCCATTCTCCTCTCGGGATCTAGGGCACGCACGCACACGCGCCCGGCGTGAGTTTTAAGCCACCGGGTCCGGGACATGAACCGCGGTCGACTACGTGGGAATCCAGTGACATAGCCATTACGCTAACTGCTGGTTCCCCGTTACTTGGTTTTTTAAAAATTGTTTTGTGTGCTTTTTTTTTTTTTTTTTCTTTTTTCTTAATGGGCTAGCCCTGTAGCTTAGTGATTAAAAGGACTGGATCCCAGAAGGCCCACCATGAATCAAATCCTAGCCCAGGGCTTGAAAAATAACCTGGATTGGGCCAACAGGTGGCATGGTAACTAAGGCTTCCAATCCCACATGGCTGACTCTGTTGTTTGAGTTACAGAACTGGCAGTTTGAAAGACACACAGACCTGTGTGTGGGGATGCCCAAAATCCTGAGAGGGGAATGGAGGAGAAGGATTGCAGCATGGCCATGCCCTCTAGAGGGTGCTTTCTCACTTTCCCTCTCTCCCTATCTCTCTGGTGAGGGCACATGCCTGACAGCAAATTTAAAAAGAAAAAGGTTTTTTAAAAAAAATTATAAGGTCTGAGGACCAGCAGTTAGCGTAATGGCTATGTCGCTGGACTCCCATGTAGTCGACCGTGGTTCGAGTCCGGGACCCGGTGGCTTAAAAC